TGGAGAGTGGCATAAGCTGCCTGGGAGTGTGATGGAGTCTCCTTCTCTGGAGGCTTTTCCACAGAAGATGTCTACTGGGAGTGCTTTGATTGTGCCTTTTTGCATGGCAGGGGATTGTACTGGGTGGCCCTTGGGGGTCTCTTTCAGGTCTAGGATTCTATATCAGTAATAGGCAATGCAGGGTCTAATGCATAGACTTTTTCTCTCCTGTCCACTATCTCATCCTGATGAAGGCTAACCCTTTTGGGATCCAAACATTTCCCATCTTTCCTTCACTTTCTGCCTCCAAAATAGAAGAAGAGGAAGGGGAGGAAAAGGCAGGGAGGGACCTGCAGAGAACCCCCTCCCTCCCTTCCAGCGCACCCACCCCATGTGGCCCCCAAGTTGGAAAGTTTGCCCATGCTTGATCAAGACACATTTGCATGTTTTCAAACTACTAGGTTGGTAGAAGCTGGAGTTAACAATGGGAGCTCACCCTGTCCCATGGATTCGAACCACCAAAACTTCTGGTCAGCAAGTTCTGCGGCTTAGTGGTTTAACCCGCTGCGCCACTGTGGCCTTGTGCCTAACTTCAAACCCCACTCTCCTAACTAAACAGAACAGACCACAGTCTTCCAGGGTTCTCATGCCAAATAGTGTTGATAAAATAGCAAAACAACGGACAAAAGCAGCAACCATTTGGCTGATTTTATATTGACAAGCTGCAATGTGTCCAGAGAAGGGCGACCAAAATGGTCAAAGGTCTGGAAGCCAAGCCGTATGAGGAGATACTCAGGGAGCAGGGTCTGTTTAGCCTGCAGGGTTGAGAGGAGACATGAGAGACATATTTACATATTTGAAAGGCTGTCACATTGAGGAGGGAGCAGGCTTAGAATCATAGAATAATAGAGGTGGAAGAGACCACATAGGCAATCTAGTCCAACCCCTTTCTACCATACAGGAAAAGCCCCCTTGACAGATGGCCATCCAACCTCTGTTGAAAAGCCCCCAAGGAAGGGGCCTCCACGACACCCCGAGGCAGAGAGGTCCACTGCTGAACAGCTCTTCTTACAGTCAGGAAGTTCTCCTTAATGTTCAGGTGGAATCTCCTCTCATGTAATTTGAACCCACGGCCACATTGAGTTCTAGTCTCCAGGGCAGCAAAAATGAAACTTTACTCTCTTTTCCTTAAGACATCATTTCAGATATTTAAACCCATCTGCTCTCAAGCTTCTCCTCTCCAGGCTCAACAGACCCAGGTTCTTTTTTGCTAGGACGCAATGGAGCAATGGATTGAAACAGCAAGAAAAGAGTTTCCACCTGAATATTAGGAAGCACTTCCTGACAGTAAGAGTCGTTTGGCAATGGAACATACTGCCTCGGAAGGTGGTGGAGTCTCTTTCTTTGGATGTGTTTAAGCAAAGGCTGGAGGGACATCTGTCGGGGGTGTTCCTGCATGGCAGAATGGGGTTGGACTAGATCAGGCATGGACAAACTTGGGCCCACCTGGAGGGCCCAAGTTTGCCCATGCCTGGACTAGATCGTCCCTGGGTCTCTTCCAACTTTAGGATTCTGTCATCTGTGAAACTGAATTCAGCCCTAGACCTGAAAAGACGTTTTCCACCTTTGCTCTACAGCAGGCCTTTACAACTTGTGTCCCTCCAGATGTTTTGGACTTCAGCTCCCATCATTCCTGACCATTGGATAAGCTGACTAGGGGTTCTGGGAGCTGGAGGTCCAAACAGCTGGAGGGTCACTGGTTGTGCAGGCCTGCTCCAGAGCAACAAATGTTTAGCTATCCCTAGTTTGATGTGCTGTGGGATGTATTACATATTACCAGTCACATCACAGATGGCATTTCTACACTGACCGCTTAATATGGATTGAAGGCACCTCGGAAATGGGGTGTCCAAAGGCGCAGAGTGTGAATACATGCAGGAATGTGCTTTAGAGGCCATAGGCCAGTGTTTCCCAACCTGGGGGTCAGGACTTTTGGCCTCCCCTAACAGGTTTTCCTCCACATCAAGGGCTTGCTTAGACTGTATGCCTCTTGGGGTCACTAGTGATGTATGAGTTGGGCAGGACTGATAGGGACTAATAAGGACAAAAGCCTGGCTCAACATGATGTGAGGCTGCCAGGCGTTGGCTACACAGTCACTCTGGAGGACCTAGAGCAATGTTTCTCAACCTGGGGATCGGAACCCCTGGGGGGGGGGTTGTGAGGGGGCATCAGAGAGGTTGCCAAAGACCACCAGGAAACACAGTACTTTCTGTTGGTCATGGGGGTTCTGTGTGGGAAGTTTGGTCCAATTCTATCATTGGTGGGGTTCAGAATACTCTTTGATTGTAGGTGAACTATAAATCCCAGCAACTACAACTCCCAAATGCCAAGATCTATTTCCCCTAAACTCCACCAGTGTTCACATTTGGGCATATTGAGGAATTGTCCCAAGTTTGGTCCAGATCCTTCACTGTTTGAGTCCACAGTGCTTTCTGGATGTAGGTGAACTACAACTCCAAAACTCAAGGTCAATACCCACCACACCCTTCCAGTATTTTCTGTTGGTCGTGGGAGTTCTGTGTGCCAAGTTTGGTTCAATTCCACTGCTGGTGGAGTTCATAATGATCTTTGATTGTAAATGAACTACAAATCCCAGCAACTACAACTCCCAAATGACAAAATCAATCCTCCTCAACCACACCAGTATTCAAATTTGGGCGTGTAGGGTATTTGTGCCAAATTTGGTCCAGAGAATGAAAATGCATCCTGCATATCGGATATTTACATTACGATTCATAACAGTAGCAAAATTACAGTTCTGAAGTAGCAACAAAAATAATTTTATGGTTGAGGGTCACCACAACATGTAGTAAGGGGTCACGACATTAGGAAGGTTGAGAAACACTGCCTTAAGCAAAGAGAAGCGAAACGGGGGGAATACTCTGAAATATGCAATCTAAGGTGCATCAGCATACATAGGTGAGTATCGAAAGGGGAAGTTGTGTGTGTGAGTGTGAGGGTGGGGAGCTGAATCCTCCATGGCCATGAAGCTATGGATACTACAGATTCTAGAACCGGGTTGGAGTCAAACTCTCACTGCCCAGACCTCGACCCAGTTCTTGTACTTTCTATGAGATCAGGCCACATTCAACCTCTGTCGCTTTCATCCCACATTACTTGGTCAGTGCAGATGTGCCCAGGAACAGCCACCTGTATTCTGGAGTGCTGTGACTGACTCAGCCAGGGTTGCCCTTGGACCCATCTGTCAAACTGCTCATAGCACTGGAAAGCTTCTCCTAATATTCACAACAAAATAATATGAAACCATTAGATCTGACTTGACCCCAGGAGCAAATCCAGTGGAGCCTTTCCTAAGAAATGGCTCGGTGGCTGAGAAAGGCAATCTGAGTTGTACAAAAAGAAACCTGCAGCCCGAGACGATTGCCCCAAATATAGATGACACATCGGCCCTCCTGCCTGTGTCTTAACCTTGCTCAAAGAATTCAATGCAGTCGCCGCAACTGAATCCCCAAAATGATTTCCCCACCTTCAAAAGAGGCATATCGCCCAACACTTCTGCAGCAAGTGGGAAGGAAGATAGCAGGGACTACGGTTTAGGACCTTGGCGGTTTCACATGCTGGTGGAAATGAGACACCGAAGGATAAGGACGGCGGGCAAGAAACCACAGAAATCACATCATTCATTCCAAACACAGGGGAAGAGGAACATCTCTGTTTCCTGCCCAAATGACAACAATGTCCCTGCCTGCTCAGTGTGTATCTGGGGACAGCTTTTTGTGACAGAGGGCCACCGTGCAAAAGGCCCTGCTTCCGTCTTTTTTCCGAGAGCAGAGGCAGAGAGACACGCTCCGATGGGAAACCAGGGGCACATTCGACTGAAGCCAACCCAAAGTTGGCTTTTTGAGCACTTGCCGTGGCACGAAGACCGCTTGTATGCATCGCCTATAAATAGAAAAGGCTTGGAGGGAGCAGTGAGAAGAGGAGAAGCAAGATGCAAGGGCTGGGGAGAGCTCATCTGAGAAAGTGCCAGCGTTCTTCCAAAGTAGTTTGGGGTCGAGCAAATGCCACATGCACAAAAGTGAGGCCATGAAATGTAGACAGCTTGAACCATTCTTTTTCGCTCCCTCGCCAGTAGCAAGTGAAGGCAGTCTAGCAAGAAACGAAACGCTATATTGGGGACACACAGGGACAAGTCGCATTGGTAGTGGGGTGGGAATGGAGGGAAAGATGCTGCTCGACTTTGCCTCCAACATGCTCAGGTGGAGTCCAAACAGCACAGTGGATACAAAGGATTCCTCTTTGAAATTGTGATTCTTCCTGCCAACTGAAGGAACCCCCACAAGTCCAAATTGGAGCACGCCAAGCAAGACTTGAGCCCAAGTTGATGGGAAGGGAAAGGGGACAATGGGCTGGGGGGGGGGGGTGTCTCAAAATAGACCTGGGGGAAAAGGCTGCCAAGGGGTCCCTTTGGGGGTCTTTGTACCCCTAGCGTTGTTCCAGAAGGCGCAGTGACACCTTAAATGGCGGAGTTTCCAGCACCATTCAAAGCATGAGGCTGACCTCCATTCAAAAAATAAAAGAACTTTTGCTTGGCTCCATTGCTCCCTCCAAAGCCCCGAAGGCATTTGCTGCAGTCTCTCCTCTTGAAGAGGGACAACAACAGCCCGGCAATGCTGGTCCTGGGGAAGCCGAGGCAGCTGGGGCTGGCGGGGATGGGGGGCCGGGGCTGGGGGGCTCCAGGGCAGCAAGGCAAGGCTCCTTTCCCCTCTCTGCAGGGGATGGGGATGCTGGGAGGCGCAACCCAGGCTTGGAGGAGGACAGGCTGGGTTGGGTTGGGTTGGGGGAAAGCTGCCTTCAAGGGCTCGCCTCTCGCCTCTCCCCTGGGCACCTCCCGGGCGCCAAGTCTTCCCCTCTTTCCCCACAGCCGGGGAGCCCCTCTCCCCTCTCTCCCCTCCCCAGCCCTTCGGATTGCAAGCCCCCTCCCCTCCCCATCTCTTACGTGAAGACGAAGAAGAGGGTGGTGGAGCCCACGAGCAAGGCGGCCGCCGTGGAGACCGGGATGTACTTGGTGGGTTTCCAGCCCTTCGCGATGCTGCCGGGCATCCTGTAGCTCCCACATCCCTAGGAGGCGAGCGCCAGGAGGCAGAGGGTGGGCCCCACGCGAGGCAGAGAAGATAGGGGAATATGGGGGGCAAGGGGGAGAGGAGGAGGAGGAGGAGGAGGAGGAGGATGAGGAGAAGGAGAAGGAGAAGGAGGAGAAGAGAGGGAAGGAGGCAGAGAGCGGGGGGAGGGAGAGAAGAGAGGCAGGCAGGCAGGCAGGGAGGGAGAACAGCTGACCTCTCCGCGCAGGAAATCCCACCCACTCGGGGCCAGCCCACTCGGCTGATGTCAAGCAGCCCCTTAAGGTAGAACTGCCGAGAGGAGGCCAGGCCAGACTGCCTACTTGCCCCTTTCTCCCCATCCCGCAGCCTTGAGGCAGGAGAGCATGGGATGCACAGGGCCCTCTGCAGGACCAGGCACATCACTATCATCATAACAACCACAACAAGAAAAACAGGAATTAAGAGTAATAATAATAATAATACTTTTGTATTTCTAATAATAATAATAATAATAATAATAATAATAATAATAATAATAATAATAATCTTTATTTATACCCCACCACCATCTCCCCCAACGGGGACCTCGGGGTGGCTTACATGAGGCCAAGCCCAAACAGCAAATTACAATACAGTAAAATACAATAAAATAAAAACCGAAACGCAAGCAACAACACAGTAAAATACAAAAACATGATGAATACAATAAGCAATGAACACAAAACATAAGAATGCAATGAACAATCACAATAACAGTGAGCGGGCCACATGTACAACAGAATGATTAAAAACTCAAGGTGAGATAAAAGGAGTAGGTTATTTGCAAGGGAGATCTCATAGGGAAGCAGGGCAGTAAACAGGCCTTCGTACAAGAGGAGGTGTATAATAATAATAATAAGACTGACAAAGTTTTGGAACACAATACACCAGACATCAGATTGTGGAAAAGAAAAAAGTCTGGATTATTGATGTTGCCATACCAGGTGACAGCCGCATTGAGGAAAAACAACAAGAAAAACTCAGCCACTATCAAGACCTCAAAATCGAACTGCAAAGGCTCTGGCATAAACCAGTCCAGGTGGTCCCAGTGGTCATTGGTGCACTGGGTGCAGTGCCAAAAGATCTCAGCCGGCATTTGGAAACAATAAACATTGACAAAATCACGATCTGTCAACTGCAAAAAGGCCATCTTACTTGGATCTGCGAGAATCATTCAAAAATACATCACACAGTCCTAGACGCTTGGGAAGTGTTCGACTTGTGATTTTGTGATATGAAATCCAGCATATAGATCTCGTTTGCTATGACATACTGTGCTTTTGTGTCAGAATAATAATAATAATAATAATAATAATAATAATAATAATTTAAAGATTGAACTACAAAGACTCTGGCACAAGCCAGTCAAGGTGGTCCCAGTGGTGATCGGCATACTGGGTGCAGTGCCTAAAGACCTTGGCCTGCACTTAAACACAATCGGCACTGACAAAATTACCATCTGCCAGCTGCAGAAGGCCACCTTACTGGGATCTGCATGCATTGTTTGCCGATACATCACACAGTCCTAGACACTTGGGAAGTGTCCAATGTGTGGTCCAATACAACAGCCAGCAGAGTGATCTTGGCTGCTGTGGACTCATCTTGTTGTGTTAATAATGATAATAATAATATTAATAATAGTAATAATAGCTTACACAATATGAGGATTTAAAGATCGAACTGCAAAGACTCTGGCACAAGCCAATCATAGTGGTCCCACTTGTGATGGGCACACTGGGTGCAGTGCTTCAAGACCTTGGCCTGCACTTAAAAACAATGGATTTTGACAAAATTACCACCTGTCAGCTGCAAAAGATGACCCTACTCAAATCTGCGCGCATTATTTGTCGATACATCACACAGTCCTAGGCTTAGTACTTACTTAGGTGATCCATCGTTGGCCGAGTAGGATAGTCTTTCAGGATCAGTATTGTGGTGGGTCCGTAGGTGACTGTGGAGCCCTATTCTTGATCTGCATCTTCTCCAATGCAGTGAGAGCATTGGTTTCCAGGTGGAAGGCAGTCTCGGTCGGGGTTGGCTTGAAGCGCCTTCCTCTTGGCACGTTTCTTTCTTTCACCCTCCATTCGTGCTTCTTCAAATTCTGCAGCACTGCTGGTCACAGCTGACCTCCAAATGGAACGTTCAAGGGCCAGGGCTTCCCAGTTCTCAGTGTCTATGCCAGGGTTTTTAAGGTTGGCTTTGAGCCCATCTTTAAATCTCTTTTCCTGTCCACCAACATTCCATTTTACGTTCTTGAGTTCGGAATAGAGCAACTGCTTTGTCAGGCATCCGGACAACGTGGCCGGTTCGGCGGAGCTGATGGCAGAGGACCATCGCTTCCATGCAATTGGTCTTTGCTTCTTCCAGCATGCTGACGTTTGTCCGCCTGTCTTCCCAAGAGATTTGCAGGATTTTCTGGAGGCAGCGCTGATGGAATCGTTCCAGGAGTTGCATGTGACGTCTGTAGACAGTCTGCGTTTCGCAGGCATATAGCAGGGTTGGGAGGACAATAGCTTTATAAACAAGCACCTTGGTATCCCTACGGATGTCCCGGTCGTCAAACACTCTCTGCTTCATTCGGAGAAATGTTGCACTTGCAGAACTCAGGCAGTGTTGTATTTTGGTGCCGATTATGACTTTGGTGGAGAGGTGGCTGCCAAGGTAGCGGAAATGGTCAACATTTTCTAATGTTACACCATTAAGCTGTATCGCTGGCATTGGAGAGGGATTGGCTGGTGACTGCTGAAAGAGGACTTTGGTTTCCTCGATGTTCAATGACAGGCCGAGCTTCTTGTATGCTTCTGCGAAGGTGTTTAGAGTGGCTTGTAGGTCTTCTTCTGAATGCACACAGATGACATTGTCATCAGCATACTGGAGTTCTATAACAGATGTTGTTGTAACCTTGGTTTTGGCTTTCAGTCTGCTGAGGTTAAATAGCTTGCCATCTGTCCGATAGATGATTTCCACTCCGGTGGGAAGCTTCCCCTTAACAAGATGAAGTATCATAGCGATGAAGATGGAGAATAAAGTTGGGGCAATAACACATCCCTGTTTAACACCTGATTCCACCTTAAATGGGTCACTTTGGGAGCCATTGCTGTCCAAGACTGTTGCCATCATGTCATCATGGAGGAGCCGCAGGATGTTCACAAATTTGTTAGGGCACCCGATTTTTTGGAGGATGGTCCAGAGAGCGCTGTGATTCACTGTGTCGAATGCCTTTGCAAGCTCAATGAATGCCATGTACAGAGGTTGATTTTGTTCCCTGCATTTTTCTTAGAGCTATCGTGCAGTGAAGATCATGTCCACTCTTCCTCTGGAGGGGCAGAAGCCATTCTGGGATTCTGGGAGGGTGTCTTCTGAGAGGGGTAGAAGGCGGTTTGCAAGGATTCTTGTGAGGATTTTCCGAGCGGAGTTTAGAAGGGAAATACCGCGATAGTTTCCGCAATCTGTTCTTTCCCCTTTTTTGAAGAGGGTGATTATGGTGGCATCCTTTAAATCTGCTGGGATTGTCTTGGTCACCCACACTTTTTCTATGAGCTGGTGGAGTTGTTCTGTCAGCTCAGGTCCTCCCTCTTTAAAGATTTCAGCAGAGATCCTATCAGGTCCACTGGCTTTGTCAAAGCATTGACACCTCTTAGACTACGAAATCACATGGGCCAGAGACCGCCGTGACGTGCTTCTCACAAGAGCTATGACAGGTGCTGACGACTGCTGGACAGACCACAGGCTAATCCGATCCACGATGGCTATCAAGATTGCCCCCAAGCGCAGACTCCAAGGAAGGAAGACAAGGCGCAAAATGAACACCCAAGCCCTTCAGGAGCCCTCCAGACGAGTCCTTCTCCAAACAGCACTCAAAAGAGTTGGATTTGGAAGATATTTGGAGGATAAGAAACGAGGAAAAGAAGGATTATACATTTTATTCCCATAGGCATCAGTCTTGGTCGAGAATTGACATGATATGGATTACAAAAAAATTAATGACAAACGCGCAGGATGCTCTCATCCTCCCTAGAGACCTATCGGACCATTGCCCAATGGAGTTAACTATATTTCAAAGAGAGGGAGCTAGAAGATGGAGACTGAATGAAAAATTGATAAAAAAGGAAGTAGATAGATCTAATTATAAAAGAATAATTCAAAACTATTTATAAATTAATGATACGAAGCTGACAAATGCTCAAATAACATGGGACGCAATGAAAGCAGTCCTGAGAGGACATCTCATTCAACATAACTCCAACAGGAATAGGGAAAGGAATAAAGAAATTAAAGATTTGACAAATGAAATAATGAATATGGAGAAGGAATTAAAAAAGAATCCTGAGAAGGTCCAACTGGAAAAGAAACATTAAAACAAAAGAAGAATCATTTGGAATTGGGATTTCAAGCTAATCAAATTAAATTTTTGAAACAACAAACGTTTGAAAATGCGAATAAACCTGGAAAATGGCTAGCCAGAGAAGTGCGTAAAAAACAACACTCTAGACAAATTATGAACATTAAAGTGGGAAATAAAATTATCTCAACAGATAAAGAAATAATGGAGGAGTTTAGGAAATATTACAAACAATTATATTCAAAAGATTGCATAGATAAAGAAGAAATAATGGCCTATATAAATACATTTAAATTTCAGAAAGTGGATGAGGAAACGAGGGAACAATTGAACAAAGAGATATCGGAGGAGGAAACTGAAAAGACAATTCAAAAGATGGACCCAGACAAGGCTCCAGGCCCAGATGGATATACGGCTGGATTTTATAGAATATTTAAACAAAAATTAATACCTTTATTAAAAAAGGTACTAAACAAAGTGATGATTAAGCAGAAAATTCCGGAAACTTGGACGAAGGAGGAAATAGTACTGATTCATAAAGAAGGAACCTGCGAGACGGAGATTAAAAATTACAGACCAATTTCTTTATTGAATACTGATTATAAGATCTTGGCGAACATATTGGTGGAGAGAGTAAAAAAATTCTTAAGAAACTGGATTGAAGAAGACCAAACAGGATCCCTACCAAACAGATTTATGAAGGACAATATAAGGTTGGTATTGGACTTAATAGAATATTATGAACAGAATCATCAAAAAGAATTTGCCATACTAGCCTTGGACGCAGAGAAGGCTTTTGATAACCTAAACTGGGACTTTTTCAAGACTTTAATACAAGAATTGGACATGAGAGATACATTTTCTAATGCAATAAATGCAATATATGAT